CTACATCCCTGACAGGACATTTTATTTTATTTTATACAAGTACATTCTTCATAGATGAAAAGAAATGACTGAGGCTCATTTATTTCTGATTCCCCAGAGCCTATACCTTGTTGGCACAGAAGAGGCACCAAGGATTAAAAAAAAAAAAAAAAAGAAAACAGTTAAGTGTTGAATAAACCGTGGGCAATATAGCTTCCACACGGTGGACCATTCATGCCGGTGTTTTCATCTTTTTCAGAATGTCGCATAGGAGTAGAGATAAGATAAAATAGTGCTTGTTTCTGTCTATGTCATGGACTTTCTAAGGGACATATTTTCTTTTCATTTAATAGCATATGCAGGATTCAATCATTGAAAAGCCATTGCAGAAAATTTCATAAGTATGGGGAAAAAAGAGTCAGAAATGGAGGGGACGACACACATGCATGGGCTGAGCCACATTTTAGGATTTCTTATCATTCCATGCTCTAGTGTCCTGAGCCAGAAAAGGCTTCAATCTTTTCTGCCATATAATCCATAAAACATTAAATTTGGGGGATTATATTTAATTAATAAACATACTATCCCAATAATGATTGACATTCTTTATAAAAATGACCCAATATTTATAAGTTACAAACATCCCTTAAGTGCCACACATGGTGTAGTGCTGGGTATTAGACATTTTTTCCAGGAAGGTACAGAAGCATAGAGAGGAGGAGAAATTTATACACACTCCACATACATGGGGTGAAAAATCCAGGACTCAATCCTTGATTTGCTTATTCCTGCACCAGTTCTCAGTCATCTCCACTGTAGCTAAATAGCGTTTCTTTTCTAACCTAGCTTGTTGGCTCAGAATGTGAAATGAAGGTAGAAGAATTGATTCATCCTCTTTGGTTCAGTGAGTCTATCTGTGAATTACAGGAATGCACCAAGTAGTTCACAGGGGCCAGAATGGCACTAACATGATGGATTATAGGATTTTCTATAAATAGTCATGTTGTGCAGTCCAGTTTTGAAATCTAAGGTTGAAACAATTTCCTGTATAATATGAAAATGTCATGTGCAGATATCATGACATTGTCACAAGATAGACCTCAGGAATATTTTCAAATGATATCTTAACAAGTGATGATGTGGTTGATAGAAAATGATATTTGCATTGAAACAAATACAGACATTAGTAAAAATGACCATGCATCAATTCTTAGAAACTGCACAACTAGCCACCACTCTCATATTATATACAAATTCTCATTTGTACGATACCATATGAGTGAGGTACAGAATTTTCATAGGATTGTTGTAAGAAGAAAATGATATAAATAATAGTATACTATAAAATATGTAATGTAAATTAAATATTTATTTAATAGATAGTGAAAATACATTTTTATATTGTTACATTTTAAATATATGTGAAATATAAATTTGTTATATTTATATGTATAAATATAAATTTATAAAGTAAATGATGTTTCCCCTTACGTAATACTGTGCATTTTGGGTAAATGCTTGAAGTAACTGTATGTACTTCACAAAGAGACTTAACCACAAAGTTGTGGTAAACAAGCACATTTCAGAGGAAATATGTGTAGTATTCTGTTTAGGGAAGATTTTAAGAATGCAGTTTAGATACATAAATGAATATTGACATTACAGAAGCACTGACAGGGAAATATACCCATCAACTTCATGACAATGGTTGCTTTTGGGGGACAGTTATATAGAGGAATGGGATTGAGCTAGATACCAAGAAAGTCCCCTTTTATGAGTAAATGTTCAAATCTCTATAAAAGCTGAGATCTGAAGGAAATATTATTAAATGTTTATATTTAAAAATAGGTGATGGTTATTGATGACACTAATAATAGGTAATATTAATGGAAATTTTTATAATTGTTAGGCAATATTCTAAGTGGTATTTATCAAGTCCAGCTTGACATTAGGGTGACCAAGAAACGCACAAGTAGAGATCCTGAAATAGGTCCTAGGCTGAGACCAGGGTACCTGTGAACTTTAAAATAAGCACACATAAATTACCAATCAACTGGAGATGAAAACCATTGGTCTAAGCAATATTAATAATTTTTAAAAAATCTTCCAATACCCCTACTAGGTAGGTTCAATTATTATCATAATTTCATAGATAAGGAAACTGCCCAACTGTGTTTACAGTACTTATTTTGAATGATTCTAGATTAAATCATAGTGTGACATGCCAAAATAATTAAACTGAGTTACCTTCAGGTAGGAGAAGACAAGGAATTGCAATCCCTGTATCAGGAAGAATTGACATGAAAATCTGCTGCATCTACATCAGAAGGCTGGGTTTAGACCTGGCTGTGGGACCTTCCCTGGTGCTGAACTCCTAAACCCTCCATAAATAGGAGGGTTTATGATGAGAACAAGACCACCAGGTATATGAAAAAGCGCTCAACATCAGTTAGTATCAGGAAACACAAGTCAAAACGTAAATCAAGTATCACCTCACATCTGTTAGGATGGCTATTATTGAAAAAAAAAACACAACAAATGTTGATGAGGTTGTGGAGTTTAAGGGGACTCTTGTACTCTTCATTTTCTTGAAAGAAACTCTGGTGTGTATATATTAACAAAGGAATATTATTCAGGCATAAAAAGAAAGAAATCCTGCCATTTGTGACAACATGGATGGACCTGGAGAATATTATGCTTATTGAAATACATACACCAGACATAGTCAGATACTGTATGATCTCACTTATGTTTGCAAGCTAAGAAAATCAAATTCTGAGAACCACAGATTAGAACTGTAGTTGTGAGGAGGAGGTGGTAGAGAAAGTGGGGAGATGTTGGTCAAAGGGTACAAACTTTCAGTTATAAAATGAAAAAGTTCTGGGGATCTAATGTACAGCCTGGTGACTTGTTAATAATTCTGTATTGTAGTCTTGAAATCTGCTAAGAGAGATCTGCTTAACTGTTACTACACACACACACAAGTAGAAACTATGTGAGGTGACAGATATGCTAATTAACTTGATTTTGGTAATCATTCCCAATATCTATGTGTATTAAATCATCATTTTGAACATCTTTTTAAAACCTTCATGTTGCACAACCCAAATATGTACAATTTTGTCAATCATACTTCAATAAATTGAAAAAAAAGGAAAACAATGAAGTAGTATTATGCTACTAGTACTATCCCAGCACAGAACAGAGTCCACAGAAAGTAAAGTGGTCTCACACATCACACATTTTACCAACATGGTATTGGGTTGAAACAAATAACCTTGTATAAAATAAAAAATTTCAAGAGGGTTTCTTAAATTTTATTACCGTTTAATCATTGACAATGCTTTATACACTAACACCACATTCCAAGTCACCAATGCTTTATGATTGATCATGTGTACTTAAATAAACCACACTGATCAAAATTTGAAGTCCACCAAAGTCAAAGATATGAAGCATATACTTAATAACTTTTAAAACACAACGCTGATATTTGAGTAATTACTTATTCCATGAAGGAGGGAAGACAGAGAAACCAATGATAAAACTCTGACTATCACATAAAAATGTTTTCTGATTATGGACCTTCATTTTTAATTTAGAATCCAGATGACACACCCCCTCATTTCATAGAGATTTATAAATATTCTAAATAGAAGAAATATCTAGAATTTTATTTGAGTAAAATAAGATTTATATATCTATGGCTTAATTTCTTTTTTGTGGCTTAATTTCTTAAATTCAAATTATATTTTTTCATAAAGAGGGAAGGGAATTTCGCATTCTGTATTATTTCTCAAGTAGGTTGTATTTAACTGAGATCATGAATGTATTATCTCTAATGTTCTTGTTTCTGTTCACTTTTCAGTGAAGTTTTATAAAGAAAGAGTGAATAGACAGAGGTGAAAAACACAGAAACTGATGAGGAACCAGTTCTAAGCAGATAGAATTTGTCACACTGAGAAATATTGCTGAAGGTGCTGAGGTGTATGATCTTAGAAATGAATTGCTTGAATCCAAAATATGGACACAGTGCCGCATGCCCATTTACTTGTTTCGTTTTTTTTTCCAGCCGTCTTTTCTTTTTCCAAAGGTGTCTAAGCTACACAGAACTAGAAATGTAACAAGTGTCTCAGAATTCTTCCTCACAGGCCTCTCAGATGGTCCAGAACTGCAGCCTTTGCTCTTTATCCTGTTCCTGTCCTTGTACCTGGTCACCATATTGGGGAACCTACTCATCATCCTGGCTGTTACCTCTGACCCCCACCTCCACACCCCCATGTACTTCTTCCTCTCCAACCTGTCCTCGGTTGACATCAGTTTCATCTCCACCACTGTCCCCAAGATGATTGTGAACATCCAAACTCATAGCAGAGTCATCTCCTATGAAGCCTGCCTGACACAGATGTCTTTTTTTATCCTTTTTGTGCGTATGGATGGTATGCTTCTGACTGCAATGGCTTATGACAGGTTTGTGGCCATCTGTCACCCACTGTGCTACCAGATCATCATGAACCCACGCCTCTGTTGCATTTTAGTTTTGGTGTCAGTTTTTGTTAGCTTTTTGGACTCCCAGGTGCACAATTTGATTGTGTTACAAGTTGCCTGCTTTAAGAATGTGGAAATTTCTAATTTCTTCTGTGACCCTTCTCAATTCCTCAAGCTTGCCTGTTCTGACACTTTCACCAATAACATAGTCCTGTATTTTTTTGTGTGCCACCTATGCTTTTCTCCTTTTCTCAGGGATCTTTTTCTCTTACTATAAAATTCTTTTTTCCATTCTAAGAGTCCCCTCATTAGGTCGAATGTATAAAGCCTTCTCCACCTGTGGTTCTCACCTGGCAGTTGTTTGCATATTTTATGGAACAGGCCTTGGTGTGTACCTCAGCTCAGCCATCTCACAATCTCCCAGGAAGGATACAGTGGCCTCGGTAGTGTACACTGTGGTCACCCCCATGCTGAACCCCTACATCTACAGTCTGAGGAACAGAGACATCAAAAAGGCCATGTGGAGGTTCCTCAGCAAAACGTTCTAATCTTAGTACCTGTGTCAACCATTTGGAGTGTGGGTTGGCAAATGTAGCAAAATTAACATCTAGACCTGAAAATTCTACCTCTCTCATCACATCATTTTTGTAGCTCTTATGACCTTCATGCCTCTCCTAGCTTAACACCTGGATATTGCTTCTCTTTATGGTTTAATGTGACTGGGGGAGAATTCTAGGATCCTTTGGGTGTCATAATTACTCCTTGACTGAATTTCATTACATCTATGGAAACTCTATAGTTTATCTTTGGTAGCCCCAGCATCCTCAAAAATGACTAATTTCCCTTTAATATATTGAAATTTTACAAGTTTTCCACAGCTCTTATGTATTCTCCATAGTAAATTCTATTTTTCAATCTGTGAATGCAGCTCTGTGTGAGGATGCATGTCACTGCTTCTCAACCTTGGCTTTTATCGAAATCATCTGGGAAGCTTAAAAATACTGACCACTGGGTCTCACCCACCAGATATTCTGATTTAACTGGACTTGGGTGTGGTCTGAGCATGAGGATTTAAAAAACCACTCAGGTGGTTCTAGTGTGTGGCCAAGGTTGAGAACTAATGATCCCAGTCAGATCTTTCACTCAAAGGTGACCTGTATGCCTTGTGTCCTAACTGCTCATGGACAAATGCCCAAGATCTGAAAGAGATCAGAGGTCAAAGGGGGAAGATATGAAGAGCCTACTGTAGTAACAGGCAATGTGTTTTCCCCATTCTTTGTTTCTTTTTTTTTTTTTTCTTTGCGGTATGCAGGCCTCTCACTGTTGTGGCCTCTCCCGCTGCGGAGCACAGGCTCTGGACGCGCAGGCTCAGCGGCCATGGCTCACGGGCCCAGCCGCTCCGCGGCATGTGGGATCTTCCCAGACCGGGGCACGAACCCGTGTCCCCTGCATCGGCAGGCGGACTCTCAACCACTGCGCCACCAGGGAAGGCCTTCTCCATTATTTCTGATTATTTTCTTCACATAGCTTCTCTACATCATACGCATGGGCCTTGCTTTGGGGTGGGGTGCTTGAAATCACTGCTCTATGTTCCATCTTGTGCTCATCGTACATATTTTCAACAGTGGTCTGTAAAAGCCTTAGTGCCCCAAACGCTCAACTGATCCCTTTATACCCCTCAAGCACTTGGTGGAGTAGCTTCTTACTTCAGTTATGATTACTATGTTACCACTTTGTTCTTTCTTGCCTTTCAGTCTCTCAATAATGCTTTAACTAACTCTATATTAAATGTTCTTCATTAAAATAACTAATTGGCTTCTTTTGTTTTTTTTGACTGAAGCTTGACTGATATTGTAGCACAAGTTATAAAAGTATGTTGTGAGGTACCTGCAATTGCATGATTACAAAATGTGCACAGGTAAGATGGGTGGCTGTCAATAATACATCTTAGGCATGGGTATGCAACTGGAAAATAGGCATTGGTATTATTGCACTGTGGCCCTAATGATGCCTGAAGACCATTAAATCACCCAAGTCATAACAATAAATTTATCTTCTTTTACATTACTATAGGATTGCAAAGGATCATGTTGTCAGAATGGGGAGGTCTTTCCTTTAACTAGTATCAGCCTGGTTATTAGCACTTCACCATGCTTCACTGTCTTCAGTCAGGGTAACTCAGTCTTTGGGCTCCTTTTGTTTTCTACAAGATGGTTTTCCAATATTCCTTAGAGATGTCACACATCATTTTTGTGGTAGTTATCTTGGCTTTCTGAAAGCTTTCCATAACTAGTTTTATTGCTTTGCATTTTCCAACTGAGGATAAACAACTACTGCATTGATGGCAAACTTAGATATTAAAGAAGGGAATGCACGTGACAGAAGAGAATTACAATTATTTGGTGGGAAAAGATATTGCTCATTAAAATTATTAATATTTCTAAAATATTATATAAATATATATCTTAAAATATTATATTTTATATCCATCTATGCCAGCTTAAAAGATAGCCAAGAAACCTTGGAAAGGGCCAAAGGAATGTTGCTTTTTTGTGTGTGCACGGTTTAATTCCCAGTATGTTCCGCTAAATTTACTAGCTCTTATTTTCACATAGCACCTTCTCAAAATTTTCAAAGATTGCTTCCATGTCCTGGCTATTGTAAATAGTGCTGCAATGAACACTGTGGTACATGACTCTTTTTGAATTATGGCTTTCTCAGGGTATATGCCCAGTAGTGGCATTGCCGGGTCATATGGTAGTTCTATTTTTGAGGACACAGGGAGGGGGAAGGGTAAGCTGGGACGAAGTGAGAGAGTGGCATGGACATATATACACTACCAAATGTAAAATAGATAGCTAGTGGGAAGCAGCCGCATCGCACAGGGAGATCAGTTCGGTGCTTTGTGACCATCTAGAGGGGTGAGATAGGGAGGGTGGGAGGGAGATGCAAGAGAGAGGGGATATGGGGATATATGTATGTGTATAGCTGATTCACTTTGTTATACAGCAGAAACTAACACACAATGTAAAGCAATTATACTTCAATAAAGATGTTACAAAAAAAAGAAAGATTTGTGCAGAAGCTAAAAAAAAAAAGTAAAAATAAATAAAAATTTCAAAGATAAATGAACATAGGGATTTTTAAATCTGCAAATATTATAATAGAATATACATACTTGAGTATTAATCTTAGATTTTCTACGAATTCATGAAATGCCTTTCCATAATGTTCACTATTGGTAAAATGGTAATCAATGCACTTGCAAGACAAGATTGGGTGAATTTAAATGATTAAGAAACAATGTGAAAATGATTTAGTTTTAAAATGTTGCCTAATGACTAGAAAATGGGATAATTTAGACTTACATTTCACCTTGTCATTCAGGACAACTTTTTCCGAACAAACCATTTCATGTCCTCTTTTCTGGCTGTTATCCCATTCCATTAATTCTTCTGGAACAGTGGTGAATATAACTACAGACGTTCTTCTAGAGGTAGATGCACCTGTTTCCCAACAAAAATAGAGCAGCGTTTTTTGTGTTTTTTCCCAGCGTTATTGAGACATAATTGACATATAACATTGTGTAAGTTTAAGGTGTACAATATGCTGTTTTGATACATGTATCTATTGTGACATGTTTACCAAAAGAAGGTTAGTTACCCATCCTTCACCTCACATAACTAGCATTTTGTTTTTGTTGTTGTTAGGGTTTGAACATTAACTTCACTCCCATAGTAAGTTTCAAGTACAAAACACCATAGTGTTACCTATTGCCACCATGATGTGGTTGAGAGGAGGTAACCAAAAGTACTTATCAGAATAGTGTTTAGGACATAATGGATCAATAAGTGTACACTATCATATTCACCACGTTAATAGGCCAGTGTAGTGTTTTGACTAATGCACTTTTCAGACAGAAAATTTGATTTTCCCTATCACCTTTCTAAATTTTTAACCTTGTGGGACAGTATTTTTTTAATCTCAATGCAGTATAATTCTTAATCATTTTTAATCATAGAACTTAAAGCACTCTAGGAATAAGCAGATAATATATGCACATGGTAAGATATTAATAAAGGTTGATATCCTTTCTATCATCTATTATGAGGTTGGTATATTTCAAATTAATTGAATACCATTAGTACTTTATCCTGGATGCCTGACTGACCATTACATTTTTATTTTTATGCAATGAGACCTTGACCAGATTGAGGTGATGGACTGATAAATATCATTTGTCTATATAGTAGAAGGTAGCACAGTGTAGGTGGAGATTAGGCACAGCTCTACTTTGTGTAACACTGAATAAATTATTCACTACATTATGAGAAAAAGTGAAGACAATTTAACATTTATTCATCCAGTACTTCTCTTCTTCCCTGGAACCCTCCCCTTCTATAGACACCTCCAAGAATGCCTGAAAGAGAAAAAAAAGTATGGTTTCCTTGTGTTTATTATCAGGACCCTCAGTGGAATCTGTTTCTCTAATAGCCACTGCACGATTAAGATTCATAGAATAAAGGGTGGGGTTTGAAAAGTTCTACAAATAATAAAGGGATAAAAAAGTGAGGATAGAAATTTCTCAATTACATGTCAGAAAGTGAATGTGAAAAGATTCCTGTTTCCTTCACAGAATGTAGGAGGAATTGGGAAAAGCTAATCACTAATTTTACTACATATACATCAATCTCTGTGTTTTTTCATACATCATGTCCTGTACATTGATAAATTTAACTATATCAAAAGAAAACTGTAGTTTTATTAAACTGTTTGCTACTTACTGTTTGATTATTTGCTAGAATGAGATATTTTATTAATGAAAATAAAGTTCAATAAATAATTTTGAAATAAAATGATATCTGTTGAAAATTTCAATGAAATATTAACATTTTAGCAATACGCTTCCATTGATTTCTTCATCTGTAAAATGGAGATAGATAATAGCATTTCCTTATGGGTTTCCGTGAAAATACTCAGGAGTAATGTATATAAAATGCTTGTCATGTATTGTGGAATGTAATGCCTATTCCTTTTTCCCCCAGGGTGATTATAGCTTTTTTTTTTTTTTTTTTAATGCTTGAAGTCTGAGGTTCTTAAAATCTATTTTTGCAAAGTGAATTTTTTTTTAAATAAATTCTTCCTAGAGTTTGATGATCCCTTTGGAATAAAAATTCAGGTTTCTGTGTGTGTGTGTATGTGTGTCTATACACATATATCTCAAATAACACTTTAAGCCTTATGAAAAGTTGTATCCCCCGTCTTTATTCTGACTCCCACAAACAACTTATTTGTTTTTTTGGTTTAATTCTGTATTTCTAAATTAGCTCCTTATACAGCTTTTTCATTTTTCAGCTTTTGATTTTTTTCTAATTACCTTCTTCTCTGAAAAAATTAGCATGTAGTTCTCTTGCTGTTTTAAAACATAATTCCCCTCCCCCAATATAATTATATAATAAATTAGGATAAATCGAAAGTCAGTGTCTATTGTTTTATTACATAGATGTTTACCACTTTATGACATATGAGTCTGATCCAGATTTTATTT